GAGCCAGCCTCGTACACTTCTCTGTTTACTTCCATAGAGTACGGTGGAGCGCCATCTACACGCTGCACTTCGAAACGTACGTCTTCCATAGAATGCACTGTAGTTACCGTAACTGCCGTCTTGCGTGTAAAACGACGGGAGGCGCGTCGTGGCGAGTGAGGGGTGGGGGCACTGCATCTACGAGCAGTTCCGTAACTGAGCTAATCTAATAACCTTGATCATGACCAACGATGACGTCATACGCAGCCCTTGTCTTCGAGGTTCTGACACAACGCGCAAAGCGAGCGCCGCCGTTCGTCGCTTGTTTTATTTTTATTTTCATGCTCCATTAGAGATTTCTAAAGTGTTTTTCAACTCATGCGCCGACAAACAGAGGGAGAGGAGGAGACGAGAGCTCGCGGGCTCTCGTCTCCTCCTCCGAACGCCGAGCTCTGATTGGATGGATTAGTGGGTAGGCCTAAAGCTAGCTGCCCTTGTCTCCATCTGCACTCGTCCGACCCCTTAGAACGCGAGAGCCAAACGCCGACGTTCTAACGCGTTCGACGAGTGCAGTGGACAAAAAGTTGCCGGCGACCATGTCACATCGTGGCAACAACAAAACGACAACGACAAGATAGAGGAGACTTAAAAGAAAGGGAAGTTAAACCAAGAATAAAGAAAATAGTGTCGCTCCTCTGCCCCATATTTAGGGTTCCGCATTTTCGGTTGTTATTTTTGCGAAATCCGTCGTACTTTTCTCAGTGTTTATTTTAAAATGCAATTTTCGTGTTTTTTTTCGGTAATATTTATTCTCAAAAAGGTTTACCGTTTTTTTTCGGTGAATTTGAAAGAAACACCATTCGGACACCGGATGATATGATCCTCGTAGCTGTGATATTTGTGATCATTCAAATAATAACGACACACATGCATACGTGGTCTTCGCTACAACTTCCGTCAGGACACACCTCGAAATTGCGGTATTCGCGGGCATAATCTTCAGCGCACTTTTTTTTTTCCTTCCAATCCTGACGACGTGACCGTCTGAGGGGATGACCGTACATGAACCAGCAGAGTAGCGAAAACAAAATCCATTATATTTATGTTTTTAATCACGGAGAAGTTTGAGAGTGTGAGTTAAGAAAAGTATTGACTGCTTTCCTCGATGTCCTCTGAAGGGCATGAAGCGAAAAACCTTATACCGCATCCTAACCTTTTAGATGCGGAACATCTCTTGCTCGGGTCTATGTCCCGCGGCGTCGGCGTCGTAGTCAAACTCCGCACTCACACTACGCATGCGCAACTCTCCTCCTCCCCTCTCTCCAACAGCTGCGCGTTACTCTCTCCGCTCTCTCTCTCTCTACCAGCTGCGTGCACTTCGCGTGCGTTCGCACCTACTCACACCGCGCGCGCATGCGTAACTCTCCTTCTCTAGTTTCCTCTCCTTCAAGTGTGAATGTAAGCAGCGGTTAGCGCGCTGCGCGCGTTCATCGTGTGATCACTACTGCGTGATGCACGTTAAAACCCCAGGTTAGCGGTTGCACTGCACTGGCCAAATTTCTCATCTACAGCGAAGAGACCGATTACCCGTTGAGGCGCATCTCCATCAAGGCTGTATAAACATAAAAAGCAAACCAATTTTTTTTTTTTTTTTTTTTTTTTTTGCGCGCGCGTTCAGTTCACTGCTGTTGACTCCACTCCGTTCTTCCGATGAAGTGTGATGGAAGCAACAGTCCCGTCAGTTAGTGGGTTGGCGCAAGCAAGCGTCAGCACCACCCCACAAACTAACAGCAAGGCTACGTCCACTGAAGACAAAGCTGCGCAGGTAAGGGCACCCGACGCTGAGCGCAAACGCTTGAAGCGAGCGGCAGACCCTGAACTACGGCAACGAGAAGCGGCGTCCATTCGTCAACGTCGAGCGGCGGATGCTGAACTACGACAACGTGAAGCAGCGGCGGTTCGAGAACGTCGAGCAGCAGAACCTGAGGTTCGGGACCGTGAAGTTCAACAACGTTACTAACACCGTTAATAACGATCCGCGATGCTCCACATCACCCCATGGTTCCCGTCGGGAAGATGGTGTAATTTTTTCTTTGGTGGGGGGGGGGGGGGGGGGGGGGGGGGGGGGGGGGGGGGGGGGGGGCTGGGGGCTGCGAACTTGGCACACTCAGCCCGATCACAGAAAGGGCAGAGATGTCCCGCGAAGGCAAATCCAAGACCTCTTTCGTTGCATGTTGAACATTGGAATTATGGCTGTCACGAAGACGTGACAGAATGCCGAACCTTGCACAACCCTCTCTATCTCTTCTTCCCCCACTCACCTCAACGCGGCCCTAAAAAAAAACGGACCTTTTCGGTTAAAACCGAAAACGGCAAACCTACAAACTGACCTTTTTTGATTAATTCCGAATTTCCGAAAATGGATTCGTCGTACTTTTATCGGTTTTAAACCGGAAACTCCGAACCCTACCTATATTCTGCTTTTTTAGGGCAGTCCGCCAACATGTTGCCGTCGCCCGGCAACCGTGTTGGCCGACCACCGTGTCACACCGCGCTGACGGCGGGGCCAGCACGGGGAACACTCCGCCATCTTGATTGTTTACCTTCGTTCGTGTGCGGCGCGGCATCGCTGGAAATAGGACTCTACGAAGTGCTGGTGCTTTCGAAGCGCCCAAAATTACCATGAAACGACCACAAACAGTGACTGCGATTAAAAAACTTGACACGGCGTGTATTTTTTTTTTTTTTTTTTTCATTTTATCAAAATGATCTTCGTTCGCTGACAATGCAGATAGCCCTAACCGAGGACAGTGAGATCGTTGATATATGTTCGGGATTTACGCCACCGTATGAAGTGTTTCTGTCCGGTTCTTTCATGCAATTCCTATTTCTACTGTAAATTTGAGTTAGCACGGGTAGTACCCCAAAGCGTCTTTTGTAGTGTGGTGGTGAGCTGAACTGACAGTGCTTAAAAACTGCGACGCCGACACGATCCGTTTCATAACAATCGGTGGAAGTAATATTTTTCAACGTTGTCTATTTGCGTACCGCCTGCTATGTGATCGCTTCATTCTCCGAAGCGTCCTGGAGATTTTTCAATCAATTCAAGTGTCTGGTAGCGTCTGTTTCCGAGTTCCATGAATCAACAACCATAATGAGAGCGGTCGTTTTAATGTTTCCATTTCTTTTTTTTTTTTATATTTGCTTTCCTGGATTATTTTATTATACTTTATCAGCGGGTGAGGAAGCGTGCCATTTTAATTTCACTAGTAGTAGTGTGAACTGGTCTGTCAGCAGTTCTAATTTCAACACCAGACTCAGCGTTCACGATTGTAGCTGCCACCATTTCTACGAAAAAATAGTCAGAGTGCAGGCGAGCTGGTGTAAATTGAACATGATTGTAAACCTGAGACTGGGCAGAAAAGAGAACACAACAGAAGGTAGTAAAAAAGGAGGCAACGTCTCAAACTCAGCTGCAAAGTTTATTTCGTACACACTTTATATCTTTTACTACCTTCTGTTGTGTTCTCTTTTCTGCCCCAGTCTCAGGTTTGCAATCATGTTCGACCATTTCTACAATCGTTTTCCATAATTATAGGCAATAAAACATTCATAAAATTATTTTAGCTGCACGCCAGCCTTAATTATTGTTAAATAACGTTTTTCAGGCCTTTATTTAAGTGAGCTCTTAAAAAAAACGGGGATGGGCGACTAGCTCTGCCATGGAAGCTATCTGTGTTGTCGTGCTGCCGGCCTGAAATTCGCTCAGCCACCGACCATGGCAACACACGTTGTCCAACGCAAGTTGCTGCTGTTCTTGTTGCCGGAAGCTGTCATACCGAGGCAACACTTTCACTGTCGTCCATGTTGTGCCGCTTTTTGCCGCGATGAGGCGGGTTTGTCGGACAACACGGGGAGCGAGCAACAAGTTGCCCGACTGTTGGACAACGTGTTGTGTTGCTGTTGCCGTCGTGTTGCCTCAGTGTGACAGGACCTTTAAAAAAATGAACTTGCTTGCATCAATAGCAACTCGTTGCTAAGATGGTAAATCCGCTCGTGTTGGCTTCTCTTCCGCACTCTAGCGGGGCCTTCCCTTTCGACCATGCGGAAAGAGCTCTGAGGCATCCCTAGTCTAGGAGTAGTTGCTTTAGACCGCCATGAGCTGTGAAAATCTGCTTCTCTCCAGAAAGCTGGCGTAACAACTTTCTAACCTAGCAG